GTATTCTTCTCTAATCATTCTATCACTTATTTATGACATTAGTATTCATATTGGTGGGCTACTAGCCGTGTGGGTCACCCTCGAGTGGGCCTAGGACACCATTCTTGAACACTTACTAATTTTAGCAGGTTGGACCCAAAATGATGTTTGGGCTGCCCAACCCTCCTTAGTTTGTATGGAAAGGTTAGGTATCATTATTTAGATAATGTCTGGCTCTTATATTTATTTAGATGGACCAAATAAGTATTTGAAAGTCCATCATTAATATGCGAGCTCAACCGGTAAAATAATCAAACACGCGTTACACGAATCATTAATCGTTTTGCACTCGTTCAACAATAGGAAGCTTAATACATAAATTGAATTTTAAATTGAATTTCAAGGACATTTGGGTGCGGTGCCACAAACCGTGTTGCAAAACAGCCTCTAAAACAAAAACGCTTGGTACGCAGATTGTTTATAGGCGGCAGATAGCCGAAGGAAAAAAGTTTGAAAGAATGGCCCAAGTATGACTTGTGGAGTTTGAAGAGACGAAAATATGATCAATTTTGACATGGACAAAAAACTAACCCATTTAAAATTAAAAAAAAAACTATTCCCCCAACGCTCCATCGAAGCCAACCTGTGCGCTACTATCTCCTTCGACCACGAGTTGCGACGAAGTTTTGGAGTCCTTGCGAGAAGATGGCGACCGACATCCTTCTTTTAGAAGAAGGTGAAGAGACTTAGGGTTGCAACTTCTTCTCCTTTCTTCTCTCTGTTTCTCAAGCTTCGATTTCAGCGTGCGATAACCTCTACAACTGTGGCTAAGGAGATGACGAGCAATGGCGATTAAGAAGGCCAGCCACTGGCCGTCTCTGGAGCCTACTGGCTGGTCACCGTCCTCCGTTGCTGGCGCCCACAGTTGCTGTCATAGCTCTGTTACGCATTACATTGGGACATATCTGAGATTGGGTTGGGGCTTTTGGACAGGGCAGGGTGGGGCTCGGGGCGGTGTGGGTGGGGGTGGTGGCGTGGTGGAAGGGCGGGTGGACTGGTGGACAGTGAAGGCCCAGTGGGTAGGCATGGACCCGGTTCGGGCCGCCCGGCCCGGGACCGGCCCGGCCCGCCACTGTGAGAGCCCGGAACCGGCCCGGTTCTCGGGTCCGGGTCCGGGTCCGGGTCCGGGTCCGGGTCGGGCCTAGGCCCGGTGGGGTGGGCGGGTCCGGGCTCGGGCCTTGTATTTGGCGAACCGGCCCGGCCGGGTCGGGCCCGGGCTCGGGCCGAAATGGTTTTTTTTTTTTATTTTTTTTCATTTTTTTGGGGTTAGGCGGGTTGGGCTTGATGGTTAGGAGGGGTTTGGGGGTTTATGGGGGGGGGTGAGTGGGGGGGTTAGGAAAGCAAAAAAAAAAAAAAAAAAATATGACCGAACCGGAGGATTGGCCCGGCCCGGACCCGGACCGGACCCGGTGGCTACCCGGGCCGGTCCCGGGCCTCCCTTCCCAAAAAAAAAGCCCGGCCGGGCCCGGCCCGGAACCGGAACCGGCCCGGCCCGGGTCCATGACTACCAGTGGGGTTGGTTGGTGAGTCCGCTATGCAGTGATGGGGCAGGGGAGCGGCGACATCACGCTAGGCACGACAACAGCAGGGGTGGTGGAGGCTAGGTGAGGCTAGGGTGATGCAGGGGAGGGGAATGGGTGAGGCAGGGGCTTGATTGTGGTGGTTGACAGCAGTGGTTGCAGGTGGCTGTCGGAGGCGGCGGAGGTAATTGGGCAGTGTCAGCGGCAATGTCACCGCAGCGGTGTCACTACGGTGGTTTCATCATGTCGGCGTCACTGTGGTGATGTCACTGTGGCGGCGGTGACTATAGTGACACGGGCGGTGGCTACAGTGACACGGGCGGTGGCTACAGTGACACGAGCAGTGGCTACAGTGACACAGGCGGTGGCTGCAGTGACACGAGCGGTGGCTACAGTGACACATGCGGTGGCTGCAGTGACACGGGCGGTGGTTGTAGTGACATGGGCGGTGGTTGTAGTTACAAAAAAACGAACACAGTGACATAAATTTCTACAGTTACATCATGTTTTCTAATTGCACATATATGACCTTCTTGGTCACTTTTTTGCCCCTTTTTAAAAGTGGTCGCTTTTTGGGCAATTGGTTCAAAATTAGTAATATCCATGTAAAACCCCCAAAAAAATTTACCAATTACTAATGTTTTAATTGGTAATTGGAATTTAGTTTAAATTAAATCCAAATGTACATTTTTTATTACTCACGTAAAGATTCAATTGTTTACATTGAATGTTCCACTTTGTGAATTACTCCTTCCGTCCCAATATAAAGATCACATTTGCCTTTTCAAATATTTTTAGGAGGAACACTGTTTGACACTATTTGGACACTGTTTGGAAATTGTTTGGCACTGTTTAGACATTGTTTGACACTGTTTGACGTTGTTTTGCACTATTTTATTTGTCAAAAAGGGAAATGTGCCTTTTATATTGGGACGACCCAAAAAGGAATATGTACCTTTTGTATTGGGACAGAGGGAGTATAATTATTTCTAAAGTAAAATTTGTCACATAATTGATGTGTAATGATAAAGTCTTGTTTGGTAGTTTACACGTTAAAATTTTTAATACGAAGTAATTGGTTGCAAAGTTTAGGGAAGCAGTCACTTTGCATGTAAAATAGATTACATTTTGTTTTACCTAGATATGTAATTTATTTTTTACACGTTGCAATGCTCAGCCAATGCTTCATGAAAAGCATGCAAAACATTTTACCATGCTTTCCACGTAATATACTTTATTTGGTACTGTAAAATGTTTTTAAAAAGCGTCTCGTAGTTTGCATTATATAATCAAATCAAACGATGTAAATCTTTTATGTCCCCACACTTCACATGCAAAATAATTATTTTACATCATATCAAACGACCTCTAAAAACAAGGAGTTATGCATCTAGTCTGAAAATGTGTGCTAGATGAATGGACAAAGCCGACTAACAATGTCAAACTCCAACTACACTTTAAGGGAGATGTATTCATATTTCATTTGGGACTGATTCGTAAACACATGTGATTTGCGTGGACATTTGTGTGAATATCTTTTATGACATGTTAAGAATGTCGTACTGTACGAGGAGGGAAGATCATTTGTTCGTCCCCTGGGATCATCGAGATCGATAGGGTCATGAACGCAATGGAGATGCAGAAGATTGGGCGGTAACTACACGCGCAGATGATGTGTGGCTAATACGGAAGACAAATCAGTGGCGCTTTCAGTGGAGAAGCGTGGCGGAGAGACATTTGAGAGACTGGAGGTCAAGCGATAGTCAAGGGGCGGGTGGAGCAAACCGTTTGGCTTACGAGACAGAGTATTGCTTCTTCTTTGACGACCAGGCGCAACACCTCAGGTGTCAAGACATCAACCTCAAGACCAAACTCATCCTTCTGAACTTCAATTCTTGGCTTTCCGTGACTAATCTAACAAATCCCATCTACACACATGATATTTGATAATGGGATTTCCTAGCATATTTTAATTTTACTGTAAAGTCCTATCAAATCCCAATCCAAAACACAATCTAGAGTATTGTTGAAGCTTTAAATACACCCCTTAAGCTTGCCCGCATCATATGGGATAAACTCCACAAGTTTGACACATTGACTCCAAATTTGTTTCAACACAAACTAAAATATGCATTGAAGACCCCAACATGCATTGGGGCACTTTGAAAGTGAATATTAGCTGCCAATATTCATAGAAGAGAGGAAAAGAACAGCAGGTGGAGGGAATAACAGTGGCAGGGCCATGAAAAAAAATCATAATTTGCTTTAGATTATGATAACTTTTCATTTTTATTCCAATTAGTATAAACAATATATCAAAATTCATAACTTTTTACGATTGTTCGTATGACAAAAATATCACATGCATAATGTTTAAAAAAACATCAAGTTTTATCTTGTCGAGATTTTTAGGTACAAATGTTTCCTTAAATATATTTAAAAGCTAAAATTAAGATTTTATTTTTTAAAATATTGTTTACGCACTTCAATTATTTTTTTCATTAAAAAGTCTGAATTAACAACAAAGAATCTAACTCCAAATTTATATATTTTTAATCGAATGTTTGATTTTGTAAATCATAAATATTTGTAACAAAAAATATGGTAAAAAATTAATGTATAATGATGAAAGTAAGGATTCAATATAAAAAAGTTGTTGAAAAATATATTAACCGTGTTGAGGTACGAGAAAAAATTGAATTGATTAAAGAGAAAACGTATATAATACTCCGTATGAGAAATTAGATTTATTGATAGAGAGAAAGTGAGTAATAATTAATAAGTGCCGTATGATTCACCTTCTAATTATTCACTGGACCCAGTGGCGTATCTACTATGGGGGCAGCGGGGGCAGCTGCCCCCACTCAACCCCAACCCAACCCCTATATATATGTCCAAATTTTTACAAGAAATTACTCAAATTAAGAGTTAAATGTAGAAAAAAAAATTCTAAAATAGGATTAGAAGTGTTTTCTTTAATATTAAAAGAATGAAAGGCTAAAAATTCACTAAATTATGTTATGTTTAAGACTGTTTAACTTATATTTAGGTAAATTTATTACATTTTATTTGCAATTACATCTTTACACACCCGTAATATAAATTAATCTTCTTTTTTTCATACTTGTACATAGATATTATAAACTAAATTTAATCAAATAATATTAATAATGTGATTTGTTATTTGTAAAATATGAGACTAAATTGTAGTCAAGTTTGCCCCCACTCGCCGAAGTTTCTGGATACGCCACTGACTGGACCCTACTTTGGATGTTTTCTTCTGAACTGAATTTGCTGACCTGGTCTGTTCTAATTTGATATTATTTGATCTAATGAATATCTAATTTGTATGTATTTTATAACCGAGAAAGTGTGATTTAAAACTAAAAACTGTCTGAAAGAAAATATTCTTTGTTTCCTTTGCAAGTCTTCTGTCCAACTCCCAACCCCACTTTAAGTCGTCGTCATCGCTTCTGCAAAATACTCCGTCATCACTCATCATCATCATCCAGCCAAGCCTCCTGCTCTGCCATCAATAGAAAACAAAGATAATGATTGATCACACATGCCCGCCTACTATTCTCTCGGTCCCAACTTCCTTCCGTTTCAAGTCTTCTTGTCCCCACCCAGGTCGGTCATTGTTATCTCTTCTGCATAAAACGGTGGCTTCTTAAGTTCCCTTTCAGTTTGATTTGAGGCAGAGAAATGGCGGAGATAGGAAAGACGGTGCTTGACAAGGGGTGGTTAGCTGCTCGGTCGACTGAGGTTGATCTCACCGGTGTGCAGCTCACTACCAGCGATCCACCCTCCATTGCCGATCCCACCCGCCCTTGGATGGAAGCATCGGTTCCCGGAACGTAAGCTTACTTTATTAATCTTGATTTGAGCTAAGCAGTTCCGCGTTGGTTTTAAGGAATTGTAGTTTAAAAGGGAAGTTCCGGTCGTACTTTGCAGTTTAAAATCAACCAAATTGGTTCACTAAGCTCAATTGGGACATAGGGTGCTCATAGGGAATCATTGATGTGTGCATATTTTTGGGGAAATGACACTGAGTATATGATATAGATAATCATTGGCTATGGGATTCTATGTGCAGTGTTTTGGGAACTCTTGTAAAGAACCAAGTGATACCGGATCCATTCTATGGCCTGCAAAACGAATCCATTTTGGATATAGCTGATTCAGGAAGAGATTACTATACTTTTTGGTTTTTCACAAGCTTTGAATGCAAGCTGGTATGCCGTAAAGCATTTATAGTTTATTTTTTCTTCATGATGTACTGGTCTTTTATTCACATTTCACAAGCTCTGTGCGTTATGCATGTTGCGATGGTGTCTTTAATCTTAGCTGATATGTGTTGAACCTGTATTACATTCCATTAATCTTTTGTATACATTGTAAACATGAATATATGGCTAGAAATGACATTTTTGTAATGCTGAGTTGTGAGTGTTGGTTATTGAGGTGCATAAAATGAAATGTAATGCCTTCTAGAATTACATAAATGCGATTGCTAGCCAAAACCTTGCTACAATCTAGCGATTTCATCATTTCTCTTTGTTCTATTTCCTTCAAGAAAGTGAGGGTGAACGATTGCTTAAATTTGTTTCAGTCAAACAATCAACACGTGGATCTAAACTTTCGGGCTATAAACTATTCTGCTGAAGTATATTTGAATGGGCACAAGGAGGTCCTGCCAAAGGGAATGTTCCGAAGACATGTAATCGATGTTACAGATATTCTGCATCCAGATGGTCAAAATCTGCTTGCTGTGATTGTTTACCCTCCTGACCATCCTGGAAGGATTCCTCGTGAGGGCGGGCAAGGTGGTGATCATGAGGTATATACCACTTTCATTGACTGACAATTATTCTCCAGATGTCCATTGTTCATCCAATCTTAATAGTCCAGGTATTAGTGAAGGTACATAGATATTATGCTTGTTAAGCGTGGATTCATTAGGTCATAGATTTATCAACATATGCTAAATAGTAAACCGGCTAGCTCAGTGGATTGGCATACATGCTGTACTCTGGTTGGTTAACTAGTCAAATAGGTCCATGTACTTGTCTGAGTTGCTCAATTTACTCTCTCAACTACAATTAGCTTCACTTGGACCGAACAAAGAAGTGCAAATAACTCATTTCCCAGGTTTTGAACTGGTCCAGTATTTTTAGTTTGTTGCAATGTTGGCACTTTTTATGATAGTGGGTGAGTTGAACAATTTGCATGGATGAAGGGGGCACAGAATCTATCTATTAAAAGGTGCCAACACTGTGGCAATCTAACAATACTGGTCACAATCTGCTGGCTTCCACTACTGAATATTCGTGTCTTCCAGACATGCTTTCTCCAGATAACATAAGCTCAACTAGAACATCCTTTTTTCTTTAAATATTCAGTTTTTTTTTTTAGATTTTTATTTCAGATTTTAACATACAAAAGGTTGAGCTTTGTGTGTGTTGATATTTGGTTGAATTACATGGTTCGAAGGTGAAAAATTGGATGAGATGCTGTATTTTTTTATTATAATGAAACTGGTGCCTGTTCTTGTAACCCTTAAGCTGGCCAAGACAAATGGTAAATGTAGGTTTGAATTCCAAGAAGATGCTGTCGATAAGTGGTGGAACGAAGAGAAAATTTGGGATGGGCCGAGAAATAGTCTTCCTTAATTTTTAAATAAAATTTTGCACACATGATTTTTTTGTCGAATTGGGGTAGGACCAGATCATGGAGTAATAGCTTCCCTTGCCTATGCCCACGGTGATAATGTGGGCCGTGGTTAATAATTTCAAAGAAAAAATAATTCTTTAGTCAATTGAGTTGGTGAATTGAACTCTGACCATTAGAATGGTCGTATTTACCCTTCAGCACATATTGAATATGATAGAAAAAGTGAGAAACCGGAAGGTGATCTGCTTAATGGGCTGTTTTCACTTTTTTTTGTTATGATGATGCCTTGATGGCTGTTGTGATTAGAGCTTTTTGTAGTTGAACAACTGGGGATATTGGGCCCATTAGTCTATACATTGCACTTACCCCCATATCAAGAAACATGGATTTTATAATGTTCTATGTATCAAATCCTTTTGTTCTTCTAAAACACACAACCATGAAATCACAGTCATATGTAAAGGGTGAGGACTATATAGGTTTACAATTTGTGGTGCAGCGTGATTTTTATAAAATATCTAAATTATTTTCTTATCACTTATCTGAAAAGTTCTATTATTCTCTGTGTCTGTTTAAGATTGGGAAAGATGTTGCTGCACAATATGTTGAAGGATGGGATTGGATGACTCCAATAAGGTGAAGCCTGAATAATTTATGCAACTCATTTCAATCTCACTCACACTACATGCACATTGTTCAATATTACAAGCTTAGAAATTTGAAAAACTTTATTTTATGTAGTATTAGAGATGTCTTCACTGGACATATGAGTGATATTTGAGCAGAATAGATCCTATCCCTTTTCTGGTACTCTGATACCTTTTAAGGCATACATGCTGAACTGTCAATTGAGGAGGGGTCATGAGAACTTTAGACTGACTTGTTACATAGTGGGATTCTAGTGGCTTACTGGCTTTAAATACAATTCTTTTCATATAAGATTTGGTCTTTGTTCTGTTGCAGAGCCAATTTAGGTATATACCTTATTTAGATCTATGTCACCAAGAAAATCATAAAGAAAATAAGAAAGGATAAATGGTGAAAGTAGCCCTAACAAGTTATCTATGTCAATTAAGAACTGGCTGTTTAGCTCTTCATTCATCTAAATTCAACTTTCCTTTTTTACAGAGATAGAAATACCGGAATCTGGGACGAGGTCTCCATTACAGTAACAGGGGTGAGTTCCACTGATAGTTCTCTCTTGATTTCTTTTGGGATTTGTCCATCTCTCTAGACAGCTTGAAATGGACTAAATGTATGACAAAATGCATTTCAAAAACTGAAAGACATTATGAAAGGTCTTTTGAGGTTTCAAAGATGACGATTCCGTTACTTTTTGTTTACAGCCTGTGAAGATTGTGGATCCCCACTTGGTAACTTCATTCTTCGGTGACTACAAAAAGGGATATTTGCATGCCACAGCCGAGTTAGTTAATAAAAGTGCTAAGGAATCTGAGTGTTCTTTAAACATCCAAGTGTCTACTGAACATGAAGGAAATATTTGCTTAGTGGAGCACCTTGAGACACTGCAAGTTTCTCTTTCTCCCGGAGCACATGTTCAATATACATTCCCTCAGGTCAGCCGTCTTGTATAATTGCAACTCTAAGTCGCTGAGGATGTCATGTGTTGAATGTTTTCTTCAGCATTTACTTTTTGTGCAGCTACTAAATAAATAGTTTAGCTATGCTATGAAAAACATCCTAGTACTCAATAAATCATATTTGCATTTTAGTTCTCTGAATAGAATGGTGAATGCTTTCTTTAGCATTGGCACCAAGGCACCAATCATTGAAGTTTTTTCTATCATTCTTTCCGCAGCTATTTTTCTACAAACCATCTTTATGGTGGCCTAATGGCATGGGTAGGCAATCACTATACAATGTTGAAATAACAGTTAACGTGAATGGCTACGGAGAGTCTGCCACATGGAGCAGCCATTTTGGCTTTCGCAGAATTGAGAGTACCATAGATAGTTCTACAGGTGGAAGGTAAATAATTGAGTTTCTTTTACATTTCTACAAGTCTCCCCATTTTTTGTAAATATTGAAATGTAATTTTTTGCTATATTTACACATTGATAATGTATTATGTTTAGCTGTATTTAGTATTTACGTGATGATATAGAACTAAAGTTTATTTTCCATCTCTGGCAGACTGTTTAAGGTAAATGGACAGCCTATATTTATACGTGGGGGTAATTGGATTCTCTCGGATGGGTTATTACGGATTTCGAAGGAAAGATACAAGGCAGATATTAAATTTCATGCTGATATGAACTTCAACATGATCCGTTGCTGGGGTGGGGGCTTGGCTGAAAGACCTGATTTTTATCACTACTGTGATTTATATGGCTTGCTGGTAAAACACAAATTTCCCCATCCTTCCTTAATATGCACTGTGTACATGCTCCTTTATGCACATAAAAAATGCCACATCAATTGTATGGAGAGTATTAGTTTTGTTAACTATCCAGAATCAGTTGTCTACTGAGTGTAAGTCTAGGGGGTGTTTGGATCTGATTCTTAAAACTGCTTCTACTCCTTCGGGGAGCAGAAACAGAAGTTGGAGTGTTTGGGTGAAAGTGCATAAGTGATTCTGGTGCTCAAATTTACTCCTAGAATCAGTTTTTTAGAAGTTGAGGGAGACCAGCTTCTGAAAACTGATTCTGATTATGCTTCTACTTTAAAAAAGAAGCAGAAGTAGAATCAGTTCCAAACACCCCCTAGTATAATATATTAGTGTGAGGTAAATTTTACAATTTCATGATCTATTTGGGTGAGTTAGGCCAAATTTAATGTGGTACCAAAGCTTGTTCCATTGTTGGTTTGTGTGCTTCCCCCCACTTGATGGTTTGAAGCAGGCCATTTTTGTCAGTTTTGTATAATACTCCACATCTATGATCTACTCGAGTGCGACTTTAATCTTGTATATATGTGTGATGTAAACCTTATCTTATGAAAATCTTTTGGGGGTGAGTTAAGACCAATGTGACATGTTTGATGTGTGTGTGAGTCGGATCAAAGAACATTACATGAATTGTGGTAAATGAGTTGATAATTAAACAAATGCTTATTGCTGCAGGTATGGCAAGAATTCTGGATTACTGGAGACTGTGATGGACGAGGTGATCCAGTGTCAAATCCAGATGGACCATTGGACCATGACCTGTTCTTGCTTTGTGCGAGGGATACCGTCAAGCTGTTGAGGAATCACCCAAGTCTTGCTTTGTGGGTTGGGGGAAATGAACAAGTTCCACCATCTGATATTAATGAAGCTTTGAAGAATGACCTACAACTCCACCCATATTTCGTGAATTCCTGTGGTGTTGACAACACATCAAAAGCTGGTATGCCCGTGATGAAGGACCCAAGTGAATATCTTGATGGCACTCGTGTTTATGTACAGGGATCCATGTGGGATGGATTTGCTGATGGGAAAGGGAACTTTAGTGACGGTCCTTACGAAATCCAGAATCCTGAAGACTTCTTTAAAAATGATTATTATGCTTATGGATTCAACCCTGAGGTGGGCTCCGTTGGGATGCCAGTGGCAGCTACTATCAGAGCGACGATGCCTCCAGAAGGGTGGCAGATTCCTTTGTTTAGAAAACTATCAGATGGATATGTGGAGGAAGTCCCAAACCCAATTTGGGAGTACCACAAATATATTCCATATTCTAATCCAAAAAAGAAGGTCCATGACCAGATTTTACTATATGGAACACCAAATGATCTTGATGACTTTTGTCTGAAGGTAAATGATTGTTCTTGCGTAATGACAAGATTTTTTACTTTAACTCCTAGCCTTTCCTTTGTTTTTTTGACATGTAACTGTTTCAGGCACAATTAGTGAACTATGTTCAATACAGATCTCTGCTCGAAGGATGGACCTCCCGTATGTGGACCAAATATACAGGCGTTTTGATATGGAAAACCCAAAATCCATGGACAGGCCTAAGAGGTCAGTTCTATGATCATCTCCACGATCAAACAGCAGGGTTTTATGGGTGTCGCTGTGCTGCAGAACCAGTTCATGTTCAGCTAAATCTCGACACATACTTTATAGAAGTAAGCATTTCAAAGACAGTCAAGTTCTTAATACCTCTTTCCTTATAAATAATTGTTCCAAATAATTTCTAAACTTGTTTCTGGCCTTGCGCTACATAACTGAACTCTTTTGTTGAGGGATAGTTCAACTTTACTCTCAAGTACGAGTCACTAACTGTGGTGTATTTGTAACCCAAAACACATCCTTCAAAAAGTAGTCCGGGCTGTTTATTGAGTAATTTCAAAGATGTTAAATTGGACGTTATAAGAACACATTCCTATGCTGCACATATTAAGTGACGATTCAAGACTTATTAAGTGATTGGTTTAAGAACACATTCCTATGTTGCATATATATATATATATATATATATATATATATATATATATAGCCCCGTTTCTGTACATATGGATGTACAGGAAGCTCCGTACGGACAAAGCCATCAGTGATCCTTCCCGGTGGAATTTTTTGATGAAATTTTTTGAGCATGTTCTTCATCAAGTGCAGTTTATCCATATCAAATTTCAGCTCAAAATTCAACCGGGAAGGCAGTCAAATAAATTCTTCAAACATACTGCGCATTATATGTGCGCAGAATGCGCCATATGTTTCAAGAATTTATTTGACTGACTTCGCGATCGAATTTTGAGCGGAAATTTGGTATGGATAAACTAGACTTGATGAAGAATGTGCTCAAAAAATTTCATCAAAAAAATCCACCGGGAAGGTCCTCTTATGGCTTTGTCCGTACGGAGCTTCCTGTACATCCATATGTATATGAATTGTCCTCTCTCTCTCTCTATATATATATATATATGTATGTATATATATATTATATAGGGTGCGGTTCCAATGAGAACGATGCTTAATGTGAGAACACTCACAATTCAATCAATGTGGTGCACAATGGAGCTCTTTTATTGCACATTTATAACTTTGCTCAAATTATGTCAATAATAAATAACACGGTGGCATTTTGGTGAATATTATGACAACACAGAATAGTGCAATAAACGAGCTTTGTCGTGCATCACGTCGAGGTAAATGTGGTGTTCTCACGTTAAGCCTTGTTCTGATTTGATCCGGATTTTATACACACACACATACATATACATATATATATTAAATGAACATTATAGTGATATTAAATTTATCCCTATGATCATTTTTTAATACTCTTTAGAATTGTTCTTGTTTAATGTTTAAATTCTTGAATCAGTTTGTTAGTTTATAATGCAATTTGATTTCCAATGCTGTTTACTACAGGTGGTAAACACTACCTCTGAGTGGCTCTCTGAAGTTGCTATCGAAGTATCTGTGTGGGATCTCGAAGGAGAATGCCCATACTACAAAGACTCTGAAAAGCTCAATGTGCCGCCCAAAAAAACAATGCCCACATTTGAGATGGAATACCCAAAGCAGGAGAATGCAAAACTAGTTTATTTTCTTCTTCTCAAGCTCTACAGTGTTTCAGATCAGGTCATATTGTCCCGCAACTTTTACTGGTTGCATCTCTCCGGTGGTGATTATAAGCCCCTGGAATCTTTCAGGGAGAAGAAAGTGCCGCTGAAAATTACTTCTCTAACTTTAATTAACGGCTCCAGCTATGAAATGCAGTTGGTTGTTGAGAACACATCAAAGAAGTCGGGTTACAAAACCCCATGTCATGAAAACAGCTTTGTCACAATAAACAATGGGAGTAATAATTTTGATGCATTTTTGAAGCCAGCTGATCATTATTGTCTCACAAGAGGGAAAAGCGAGATTAGTTTTTATCAAAAGCTGTGGAGGAGTATGGTAGGGAAACAGAGCAATGTCATGATTTTAGAAACTAAAGGAACTGCTGAGGCAGGGGTTGCGTTCTTCCTCCATTTCTCAGTTAATAACTCTTCAAAGAAGAGTGCCAAGAATGAGGACATGCGCATTCTACCTGTTCATTACTCGGACAACTATTTCTCACTTGTACCAGGTGAAGTGATGAAAGTTACACTCTCCTTTGATGTTCCTCCTGGAGTAACCCCACAGGTTACACTCTGTGGCTGGAACAGTGAGGTCATGCATATAGTTTATTGAATCCACCGTCTGCCCAGGTAAGTTAATGTTATCGCCAACTGCTCTAATATTCATGGTTTATAGCTGTGAATATTTTCACAATTGTGGAAGCATGTTCAGTTGAGGTGAGGTATGTTTAAATTACAGCATCTGTAATAAGGCTGCCACAAAGCAGTTGAGGTTGATAAGAATCCGTAATGCAGGCAATGCAGAACAAATAAAGCTGTTGTGAATATGATGTCTGTTAATAAAAACTTCATGTTTTTTAGAGAAACTTCATGTTATTTATGTACATTATAGGTAGGTGAGTAATACATCATTATGGTGTTGGTAGTTTTGGACATGATTGCCACGTAAATCTGAAGAACAAGTAGAATAGAGAATGCCAAATACGAATTACTTGCAAAAAACTTAAAGAGGATTGCTAACGCTGGAAGTATCCTTCCATCAAAGTCTCTCCAACCATGAAAGAAAGAAGAGTTTATACTGTTCCGGATACATCATGAATCTCATGATAATCGCACATCAAGCAAAGATAAGATGAGCATCTTTAGAAGAAAATGAGTAATCTTCATATGTAAATGAGCATCATTCAGAGGAAAATGTGTAGAATAAGATAGCAAGAACATGTGTGGAAGGAAAATGATCAGAGGAAAGTAAGCAACTCTAAAAAAAGCTCTGATTAAAGCTGCCAGCTATTCGCAAGTACAATATTATTTGGGGAGTTTGTGCTGCTCCTTTGCGGATTAGAATGTTGTACATACATATAATCTAGTAAGCTTTTTTGTGAAACTCCAGTTGGATAAAAATGTTTTCCCTTTCAAAAGACCCCATCCATGAAGTTTGAGTCTTGTGAAGAATTGAAGACGATGCAAGTGTCTTATTCGTCTGTTCAGCTTTCGTGTTTGATTACTGCGTTCTTGTTGGCTTTTGAGGAGTAGGGAAAATTGTTGGAATTCTACAAAAGAATCTCGAGAGCCGGGATACATCATGCAGTAACATTAAAAGAGTTTTCAAAGAGTTACCATAGAGATTTTGAAAGGGAAGCATACTCTCTTTCGAGAGTTTCCTTACTTCACAGTAGGAAAGTTCTTTTGGGATCTTTTGAAGACAAAGATGCTTCAAATTTTTGCATGTCACACCCAATTAACAATCATACTATTAGCCAGTTAGCCTCAATGGTTCCTGAAGTTCATCATCGTATAACCAAGCTATGGTTTAACCAATTTTCACTAGACTAATTAGTTTTCATAATCAGTTTTTAATCATAGAAATTTATTGATCATTTTGTATGGCTGAAAGGAAACTAAATTATTTGCGGGAGTGTGAGATTTCGGTATTGAGTTGCTTTTCCTCAAAAAAGCGAGTCCATGATTAAAATCTTTTAAAATGCATAATTGTCTTACCACTTGATTTTGAAATTCAGCATTTTTCATCCTGGAGTGAACTTACGATTAGGTGCAATAAAAAAATTTACTTTATACTGGAATGATATATCCCTGGAAAAAGCGAGGTCGGCTAACCACCCTGACCTCCCCTTGACTCCGCCCCTACCCACCCTCCGTTATTTTATTTGCAACTATAGCTTTTTCAAGGACATTAAGCAAAAAATGATATGCATAATGAATATTGCACAAAATGATAAAAGTAAAAAGGAAAAAGGGTCATATAAACCCATCTACTATTTCAAAAACATCATATAGGCCCATATACTTAAAAAACAATCACACATATACATCTACTATTGAAAAACAATCAAGGAGGTCCAATGACCTGTTAGCAACCTGTGATAGCAGGTCACCATCATTATTTTAGCTTTTTCCTTTTAATCTTTCCATTTCTTTTGTCTGGTTGCAACATTCTTCGTTGCTTGTTTCAGCTTTTTCCTTTTAATCTTTCCATTTCTTTTGTCTTACGAGTTACGGTTGCAACATTCTTCGTTGCTTGTTTCATTTTGATTTTTTCCATTTTCCTTTATTTTTTATTTTTCTTCTTAGTCATCATTCCTAGACTCCCAGTCATCCTCTACACCCATCTCCTATGAATCATTTCCTTCGAATCATTTAAATCATACGGAGAATCAATCTAATGTTTTTTTCCTTTTATTTCATTATATCTAACATTTTCAATTCTTCCACAATATTTCAATAATACGGAAATTACACTTTTAATTCATTATTTATTATTCATATTGAGATGTAGGGCCCATTTGAGGGGGAAATATATAAAATATATTTTATTAATAAAATAAAGAAAACATTATATGAAAAATAGTTAAAATGATTCTCTACAATAACTTCAACCAATACATCCAGAAAAGTAATTTCAACTTTACTTTTTCTTATTGTTACACAATTTAGCGCATGAAATCAAACGTTATGTGTTCGGTAAAAAAATTTGTTGATACATCTGATAAGCCGAAAAGCAGGGTTACCAAACCGGGCTCGTTCACCGTCTATTCAGTATTATACTACATCCATCCCATAAAACTTGGTCAACTTTTCCTTTTTGGTTGTCCAAAAAAACTTTGATATTTCCCTTTAAAGTAATAAATAGATGGCTATAGTTATTTCTTTGTCCTTTGTACAAATATCAATCACACAGTTTTTACTTTATTAATCTACGTGCAAATCATCATTGGCCAAGTTTAATGGGACAAGGGAGTAAATGTTACTCCCTGTTACTGTCTAATTTAAAGGAAATATGGTTTTCACCGTTAAAATCAGATTAAGAGCCCGTTTGGTAACATTAAAATCGATTGATTCTGCTAAAATTTATGAAGTTATGACTGAAGTAGCTACATTGGCTTATTCTGCCGATTGAAGGAGAAAAAATTTAAAATATATTTTATTATTAAAATAATGAAAAAATTATATGTAAAATAGTTAAAATAGTCATCTACTGTAACCTCAGCCAATACAACCAGAAAAGTAACTCCAACCTTATTTTTGCTTATTATTACACAATTCAGCGCGTGAAAACAAAAATCACGTGTTTGGTGAAAAAGTTGGCTGATAAGCTAGATAAGCCGAAAAACAGTGTTACCAAACGGCCTCTAATAACGTTTATTTCTTTTGCTTTTAAAACGATTAACATTGTAGTTTCTTACAGTGTCAAAAAGTTATACAATGTTTGGGTAATTTTTAAAATCCTTTACATTGGCATCTTTTGTCTCTAAATATAGTTGATAGAAAAACAATACTAGTCTAAAAAATGCAATTTTATAGTTTATATTGACTGATGGCCATGTTTGACAAATTACATCTTTTAAGAATGAAACTATTTAAAATATATAAAAATAAGGAAATGTTCTTTTTTAGAAATACCTTCATAAAAGTATAACATTATATTTTTTTACAAACATATTAATTTAAACCATTGTTCAAAGTTTATTGTTGTTGACTAAGAAAAGTAAATTTGGCCATGTTTTATGTGACGGGAGTACAAGTTTTGTACACATTTCAAAATTATTCGCACCGGTAAATTATTTCAAAAATATTTTGAAAAATACCACATTAACAAATTTTGAACACAATTACAGTCATTAAAAGTGACTGTTGGGTTAAGGGCCCAAGCCGAGGTCCGGCCCACTAACCCATTTCGCTAGACGAACGTCCAGCTAGAACACTAGGCCAGCCCACAGGCCCATGTTCCACGGGGATGGACGAACGTCTAGTGTTGGGGGACTCAGGCCCAGCAGCTCATCCCGACGAACGTCTGTGCAGGGATAAGGAGCAGAACCACGGGCCACCAGGGACGGCGACGAACGTCCCCATAGCAAGCCTGTAATCATCGGAGAAAACCCAGTCCACATGGTGAGTATCTGTCAAGGCCAGGAGACGAACAGCCGATATCTCCCAAGGGTCCCTTGGAGCAATCCAACTCACTTCCCGATGGACGAACGTCCCCACTGATCCGGCGGGAAACCTAGATTCTGGCGGGAAGTGCATTTAATGCTAAAGATTTGGTAGTTGGGACACCAGCGGTCCACAGGCTGCCACGTCACTACAGCCACCTGCCCATTGGCGGGTATAAATAGAAGCATTTATTCCATTGTAAAGGGTTGGCAACATTCTATTCTTAGCATACTAGCTTCAGCACTCTTACTCGCAGCATTTCTAACTGCCTCGTAAGACGAACGGCCGACGTGCCTTTGTTAGCAAGTAGATTGTACTTAGGGGAGTTATTACGAAGTTAATAATACCTATTTACATTGCCTGCTATTACTCTTGTTTCCTGATTCATCTAATAGTTATTGGGCTAGATAACCATACATCCACTCCATTCGAAACCTTTGGGCTTACGTGTTGGGTCCACAGGTTGAAGGAATAAACCTCAACACTGGCGCCGTCTGTGGGAAACTGAACAAAAAGTTTCCAGAAGCTCTCCCAAACAGCTACTAAGTCTACCTACTGCAAATACGATGTCAGGAAGCAACACCCAGCGTGATCTCTCCGAGCGTCTGGAGTCGAGCCGCCGGAATCGCGGCCAGAACTCGGAATTATCCGCGACAATATGGACTTCAGGGGGAAACGGGGGTATCACTGACCTCATTCCTCTGGAGGCCAGGCAGGATCCCCGCCTCATGCGTGAACTCGCAGACACCATGCGTCGCATGGCGGACGAGCGGGAGGCCCGAGAGCAGGTGTACTCTGCAAGCACTCAGCGAACGCCCCTCTCTCCCATACGCCGCATGCAGTCGTACGATGATACGACGGGATCCAGTGACCACCGGCCCTCAGTCCACGAGCGGCTAGGTGGGGGTTCAGGCTCCCGTGAAACGGGAGGGCGGACCAGGGTCAGCATCGCTGCATCCAGGGCTCTCACACCATCGGTTCCTCGCCAGATTCCGCGGGGAGACGAGACCCCAAGGGTCAACACCGTTGGACGACGTTTCCAGCGGCGAGGTGCACAGATTTTCAGGTGGCCGCACGATGTTGTGGCCGCTCAGCAGAATGCCACTCCCGAAGCCGCGCCCCCTGTGTCCCCCGGAAGGGCCGCACAGGACGCACGGCTGGAGGCCATGGAGAGGCAGATAGCCGAGATGAACAGGCGGGCGGACGCCGGCTCGGCCACACCCTCGTTCTCTCTCACATCACCTTTTACCCCACGGGTGATGAGCGTCGAGATTCCCCGGGATTGCAGACCCCCGGGGAACTTGGTGTATAATGGGGCTGGTGATCCTAAGGCCCATCTGATAAGCTACCAAGGGAACCTGTCCATGCTGGGAGCATCGGACGAGGCCATCTGCAGATTGTTCTTCAGCACCCTCAGGGGGCCAGCTCAGGAATGGTTCGGCCAGTTGAGGCCAGGCACCATTGACTCATACGAACAGCTTTCCCGGCAGTTCATGGCACAATTTGCTGCCAGCACCACCCCCAGGAAGGATGTCACGGCTCTTGCCCACATCAAGCAAGGGCGGGACGAACCACTGGCTAGATTCCTTGTGAGGTGGAGGGACGAGGTACTGCAGGTCGACGATCTGGACGAACGTCTGGCCACCAATATGTTCACCAGTGCGCTGGCCACAGGGGATCTGTACCGGGACCTGAGGAGGAATCCCGGCACCAGCTACACCGAGGTTTTGGCTCGGGCACAAAAATATGCCTCCATTGAGGAGGAGATCAGGCAGCGGGACGGAGTTCCCGCAGCCCAGCCTAGGAAGATGGCGGACAGGCTTGGACCCAAACCGGGGCCCGGGCCCTCACCCCCAAACAAAAAGAAGAGGACGGACGGAGCGATGATCCCATGGAAGGCTCCCTCCGGAGACAGCCAGACGCGGCCGGACGACCGCTACATTCCATTGGCCTATCCAGTTAGCCAGATCTTCGAGGCCATCAAGGACAAGGGCCTCCTGGCAGAGCCTCAGGATATGAAGAAGTATATGGGGCTTGACCAATCGGCTTACTGTGAGTACCATCAGAGGATCGGCCACCTGACGGACAATTGCAGCCAATTAAAGAAAGCAATCGACGAGCTGATCCGTCAGGGGTATTTAGGCGAATTCACCCAGCTGCTGAACAAAAACAGTCAGCAGAAGCCGACCCCAAGACACAAGACATGGCGCCGCGACGACCGGCGCGAGGCAGAACCTCAGGACGTGGATTACCGGAGTGCAGATAAACGTCCGGAGGGGTCCCTCGGCCCAAAGGGCAAGAAGAAGAAGTTGGAGATCAAGGTGATCTTCGGGGGCGCTGAGACAGGAGATACACCCGCCGAACGGAAAAAATTTGAGAGATCACTGTATGTGGGTTCCGTATCAGCACCCCCCACCAAGCGCAATAAAATCGAGGCAATTACCTTCGGCCCCGCTGATCTGCCAATGTCGCCGGCACCGCA